TTCAAACGCGAAGGGGCCCAACAATGACGACACCTTTACGTTTTGGTTGACCCGCTTCGATTGCCAACATGAAGCGCGGGCGCCATAGGGAGGAGGCTTCCCACCTGAACCGTCCTCGCAGACAACTTACAAACGAGGCTTCCTCGTGAGGATTCTTCAGAATTCTAGCGCGACGGTCCCAAAAGCGACGACCGTTACAGGATGTTGATGGCCCGCTCGGATTACAAACATGAAGCGCGGGCTCCACAGGGTGTTCCCGCCTGAGATTTCCTCGCAATTCACTCACAAACGAGGTTCCCGCCTGAGGCTTCTTCTAAATTCAAGCGCGAGGGGCCCAAAAGTCAGGACAACTATAGGTTTGGGATGACCCGCTCGGAATGCCAACGTGAAGCGCGGGCTCCATAGGGAGGGGGTTCTCGCCTGAAACGGGATTCTTAACATTACTGAGATTCAGTGGCACCCCTCATGCAGATCCGTAGGGTCAGGGTCAAAAAAAACACGTCCAGACACTGCTTCACGGCGGCGCCCACACCTCATGATTTAGCTTTTGCATCTCCCATTAAACGAGACAGGGGGCCGGCGGCATGGGGCGAAGCCCTTACGGATAGTAGTCGTAGCAGTCGTCAGTGAGATCGAAATAATGATAGAACAAGAAAAAGAAATAGTAGTAGTACTAATAAACGTAGTAGTAGTAGTGGTGGAAGAAGAGGTAGTACAAGTAATCGTATTACTAGTAGTAGTGGACGCGGTGGTAGTAGCAGTCGTAGTAGTCGTAGTAGTAGTAGTAGTAGTAGTAGTAGTAGTAGTAGTAGTAGTAGTCGTAGTCGTAGTCGTAGTCGTAGTAGTAGTAGTAGTAGTAGTAGTAGTAGTAGTAGTAGTAGTAGTAGTAGTAATAGTAGTAACAGTAGTAGTCGTCAGCCGTAGTAGTAGTAGTAGTAGTACTAATATGGGTAACCGAAGTAGTTGTTGTAGTAGTAGTGGGAGTAGTAGCAATAGTAGTAGTACTAGTAGTTGAAATAATAGTGGTAGTGGTGGTAGTCGCCGTTGTCGTAGTAGTAATCATTCGCGCAGTAGTGCTGAAAAAACCGTAGTGGTAGTAGTAGTAGTAGTAGTAGTAGTAGTAGTAGTAGTAGTAGTAGTAGTAATAGTAGTGGTAGTAGTGGTAGTGGTAGTATACGTAATAGTCGTAGTAGTCATAAGGATAATAATAACAATAGTAATCGTAGTAGTCGTAATAAGTCGTAGTACTAGTAGTACTAGTAATCAAGATCGTATTGGTAGTACTAATTGAAACAAAGATAGTAGCAATAGAAGTAGCAATAGTCGTCGTAATAATAGCAGTAGACATGAAAGTAATAGTGGGGACAGTATAGGTAGTCGTACTAATGGTAGTGGTGAGAAACAAAAATAACACTGGTGGTGCTGGTAGCAGCGGTCGTCGTCGTAGCCGTAGTAGTAGTAGTAGTAGTAGTAGTAGTAGTCGTAGTAGTAGTAGTAGCAGTAGTAGTAGTAGTAGTAGTAGTAATAGTAGTAGTAGTGGTAGTAGTAGTAGTAGTAGTAGTAGTAGTAGTAATCGTAGCAGTATTTGTACTCGAAATACTCGTGGCAGTAGTAGCAGTAGTACTCAGAGCAGTGGTAATAATAGAAGCAAGAGTAGTAGTAGTAGTAGTAGTAGTAGTAGTAGTAGTAGTAGTAGTAGTAGTAGTGGTAGCAGAAGGAGTAGTAGTCGTAGTAGTAGTAGTAGTACTAGTAGTATCAGTAGTACAAATCATAATGTCCCTAGTCCTTGTCGAAATATCACACGTAGTAGCAGTAGTAGCGTTAGCAATAATAGTGGAATTAGTCGTCGCCGTCGTCGTAGTAGTAGTAGTAGTAAGAATAAAACTAGGACAAGCCGTGGTAGTCGTCGTAGCCCTACTCGTGGAACTCGTCCTCGTCGCACTATTAGCAGCCGCCGCCGTAGTACACGTAGTAGTCATAGTAATCGCCGGAGAAATCGTAGTAGTAGCAGTTGTATTTGTAATAGCAATAAAAGTACTAGTAGTCGCAGTAGCAGTAGCAGCAGTAGTAGTAGTAGTAGTAGTAGTAGTGGTGGTGGAAGGACAAGTCATGTCTGGTAGTAGTAGTAGTATTAGCAGTAAAAGAAAACGTACCAGTAGCAGTCGGTGTAGTTGTAGTCGTAGAAGTTGCCGTAGTTGCAACGCAGTAGTGGAAACATTGATGGTCGTAATCGCAGCCGTCGTAGTTGTAGTCGTAGTCGTAGAAATAATAGAAGTAATAGTAGTCGCCGTAGTAGCGATAATAGTAGCAGTATTCGTATTAGTATTAGTAGTAGTCGTAGTAGTCGTAGTAGTAGTAGTAGTAGTAGTAGTAGTAGTAGTAGTAGTAGTAGTACTAGTACTAGTCGTACCCGTAGTAGTAGTAGTAGTAGTAGCAGCAGCAGCAGCAGTAGTAGTAGTAGTAGTAGTAGTAGTAGTATTAGTAGTAGTAGCAGTAGTAGTAGTAGTAGTAGTAGTAGTAGTAGTAGTGGTAGTGGCAGTAGTAGTAGCAATGGTAGTAGTAGTAGTAGTAGTAGTAGTAGTAATACTATTCCGTAGTAGCATGTGCTAGTGGCAATAGTAAGTAGTAGTAGTCGTAGTAGAAGTAGTAGTAGTAGTAGTAATAGTAGTAGTAGTAGTAGTGGTAGCAGTAGTAGTAGTAGTAGTGGTAGTAGTAGTAGTAGTAGCAGTAGTAGCTGCAGCAGCAGCACCAGCAGTAGTAGTGGCGGTCGCCGTCGCCGTCGTACTAGTAGTAATGGTAATACAAATGGCAATCGAAATAGTTGTACCGCAGTCGTAGTAGTCGTAGAAATAGTAATGGCCGTTTCGTATAGTTAATATGATGAGTCGTAGTAGTAGTCGTCGTCGTCGTAGTTGTAATAGTAGTCGTAATCGTGAATGATGATAGTGATCATAGTCAGTGTAGAAATAATGATAACAAGAATAGCAATGCTCCTAACTTTTGTAGAAAGTAATGGGAATCGTAGTTGTAGTCGTCGTAGTAAGTGTAACCGTAGTCAACAGCAATCGTAATGTTAATAGTAGGAGTCGGCGTCGTAAAACACGTAGTAGTAGTAGTAGTAGTAATAATAATAGTACTAGTCGTAAGCGTGCTCTTTGTCGTAGTAGTGGTAGTAGTAGTAGTAGTAGTAGTAGTAGTAGTAGTAGTAGTAGTAGTAGTCGTAGTAAAGGTAGTAGTGGTAGTATTAGCAGTAGTAGTAGTAGTAGTAGTAGTAGTAGTAGTAGTAGTAGTAGAAGTAGTAGAAATAGAAGTAGAAGTAGTAGTAGTAGTAGTAGTAGTAGTAGTAGTAGTAGTAGTAGTAGTAGTAGTAGTGGTAGCAGCCACTGTAATAACAATCAGAATTCATCCGGAACCCTGCGGGTTCCTTAGGATCTCTTACGTTTCCTTCAGATCCCTGAGGACCTCGTGAGATTTCTCGGGACCCCTCAAGATTTCTCAGGTTTCCTCAGGATCTCGTAGCACTCCTCAGTATATCTCGGGTTTCCTTAGGATACCTGAAGATCTCTTCGGATTCTCGAAACTTCTGCAAGATCTCGTAGGACACTTGAGAATTCCTCCGGATCTTTCAGGGTTCCCCGGATCTCTGAGGTGTCTAGGTTTTTTAGGATTGCGGAGGATCTCTCAGGAACTTTGAGATTGTGTAGGATTCCTCCGACTTTCTCAAGTTTCCTCCAGATTCCTGACTATTTTAAGACTCCGTACTAATAAATGGTTGTAATTGGAACCAATATGGTTGCAATTCGCTTCGGACGGTTGGAATTGGGACTCGTTTGTCCGGGTTTGTCCCCCCTCCTCCTCCTCATCATCCGATGGGGGGAGGTCCTCACTCCTCTTCCTTTCTTCCTCCTTGGGGGGGTGGGGCTCCTCTTCCTCTTCTTCCTTTGGGTGGGGGGTCCCTGTGTATTTTCCTTGTAATTACCCTTCCCTGTCGCGCCCCGAGGCTGGTCGAAAGGGCCGGCCAGGCGTTTCGCGGTAGACTTCCTCACCACTTATCACTTATGACCGTGAAGCTGGAAAATTGGCATCGGCTTCCCAACTGGAGGGCGGATGACTCTCATAAAAATGTGGCTCTCGCCCAGGCGCCGCGCACAATCGCTGAACAAGAATGGCAAGAATTTCCCAAATTGAGGGCGGGTAAGTTTCAAAATGTGGCTCTCGCATTAGCGCCGCGCACTGTCGTTCTACAACAATGGCAAGAATGTCGCGGACAGGTGGCTTTCAACATGTGGCTCTCCCCCCAGCGCCGCGCGCATTTGCTGAAATGGCTTGACGGCGAGTGGTTTTCAAAATGTGGCTCTGGCCTTAGCGCCGCGCTCACTCGTCTTAAACACTGGCAGGAGCTTCACGGATTGAGGGGGGGTGGTTTTCAAAAAATGTGGTTCTCGCCTTGACGCCGCGCACACTCGTTCCAAACTGAAGGGGAACTGGAACACACAAATAAATACACACAAATAAAGATATCCCCCATATTTTCCCATATTTTTTGGGTTTTTGTCTTCCCCACCACTTCCCATATTTTTGCATATTTTCCTGGGAGTCGACGATTAATTGTGTCTGTGTGTTTCTTTCCCTCCTGACAAACACTTGCAGAAAATAATGGACTCCCATGGGCAGCGTGCCAGATCTTTTATGGTTGGGGAGTGCTCAGGATTGCGAGGGCGCAAGAGTTACGTTGATTCACGTTGAAGCCCCAGGAATGCGAGGCAGCTCCTCAGTCGAAATGAACCCTTGCAAGGGCCTGTAAAGAGGGAGTCTAGAGAGAGGGAGTATTCCAACGTCGTTGATGAGTCTTGGGTTTGCACTGGTCCTCCTCCTCCTCCTCCTACTCTTTCTCCTCCCTCCTCCTCCTCCTCCTCATCATCCTCCTCATCATCATCATCCCGCCCCTCGGTCCCTCGCCTCGTCCACCAGTCCCTAGTCCCCCTCCTCCTCTCCCTTATCCTCACAGCTAGATTGAAGCACTCTTGCGAGTGCTGCTGCCCTCCACAGCAGGGAGCGACAGCGCTGACACCAGGGGCGTCGGCGGCGATCGTAAAAACTACGGACAAAGATACCAAACTGCGGCTGCCGCTGCCGCTGGGCAGCAAACCACACGCAACAATGCCGGAAACAATCCGCGCTGACGGCGCAAATCGCGCGACGAACAGATGCAGAAACGGCGTCCGGGACTTTTTGAATGTCACCTCTACGCCATTCGTTCAGCCACCGCCTTCAACTGTACACCGTGTGGGATCCAGTTGCGCACTTGCGCGCAGAATGAGATCCACCACAGCGGCCCCTGGCACGTTGAGGGGTGATAGAATACCAATCGCTGTCTGGTAGGGTCTATCTTCTAAGAACCCGCCCCCTCGCGGTCGCACTCATCTGCATGCACTGCCCCCCTCCCGAGACGTTCTCGTCTGCCCGACGCCACCCTGGCGGTGTCCAAAGCGTCCAAGATGCACCAGATGTCTTCCAAGACGCCCCCCCTGGTTTACAGCCACTCCTCCTCCATGCAATAAGCCCTGTACTGCCAGGACTTGTGGAGAGGCTCACCGACGCTGCGGACACGTTCCCCAACGGGGACATTGGGACATTTACGTGCTGGTGGGTACGCAGTCTCGGTCGTACGGGTAGGTCACGGACGAGACAGGGAGAGTGCACAAGCCTTGGAGAATTGAGTTCGGACATGTTCCAGGTTCATGTGTTACTGCGAGTTGTGGATTTGCGGTGCGAATCAAGAGATCAAGGTTCACGAGATGTCTATGAAGAGAGTCTACCCTGTTCCTAAATCACTGTGGGGTCGTTGTGCAGCGGTACGTTTTCAGTCTCACAGCGAGATTATGGGCACTATCGCGGTATATGTTCACCGTGACAGACGGCAACGAAAACGAGGAGCAAATATGAATAGGTGAATAGGCATGCGGGTAGATGCTAGACTGGCTACAACATACGCTTGAAGAGATGTCTCGCAAGCGCATTATCCCGCTTCTGCTTATGGAGTTGAACGGAGGGCTGCCCAGGAGTACTGAAGGCAAAGTTTTAGGAGCGTCTGGCAAGGGCATGGTCAGCTACGCAAGCAAGATGATCAGGCCATGTCTAAGTGGGTGGGGGCTTACTGCAGCAAGTGCTCACTACATGAATCCTGCTAGCTATGTGGGGAATGCGAGTTCCGGTTTCATCGATCACATCTGCATACAAGTAGAGATGGTGGGTTGCATTGAACGGTGTTGTGTGCTGTGTGTTGATGGGCGTCGTCTTGAATTGCATGTCGCTAACGAAATTTCGAGACCACCGCCCTGTTCAACTCACGTTGAGGATGACACTCTCTGTGCGACCGATTGCTGAGCGAGCTCCACGGCGGCATCGCAAAGCACTGTGCTGCTGTGTGCAAAAAGGACAGCGAAGACAGGAACTGTTCGACGAGATGGAGCGATTATGCCAATAAAGAAAATTATGATGATCCCAAGATTATGGAGAGCTCCAGAAAGCTTGAGAAGACGAATGACACATTAGTTGAGGTAGTGAACCAGGCACTTGTAAGCATTATGACAAACAATCCATTGTACATCGAGGGTCGACACGAGCAGGGAAAGTACGTAAACAAATGCTTGAGTTTCGTCTCGTCGTCAACTACGAGACATGCGTGCCAATGCCAGTGATGATGGGTTCCAGTAAATATCGCAGGTAATCAAGTTTGTGCGCACCGGGATTCAGACGACGAGCAAGAGTTATGGGAATGCGAACACCAAGAGACGTTGCTCCGAGACGCGAGAGGCTGCCAAGGACAACAATGGGTATCGTGTGCACTGGCTTGCTCGCTTAGTTACTGGACGTCGGCGAGGCCCAACACAAAAAAAAAATGCGGCGTTGGCTACTTACTTCGGCAGCGTGTGCGGCGAGGTGGAGACCCAGAATGGTGTTACCTAGCTCGAGACTCGAGATCAAGAATAAGGAGCACGAGGTGCTTGATGACATGGGCGCTTCAACATTATCTTCAGATGATTGAGATGGGATGCGCAAGACAGTATGGCGCGTGCAATTGTGGAGAAAGTATCATGCTTGCCCCATTCCCGCGGAATCGCAAAAGCTCATCATGAAGCCCAAGTGGGTCAATCCCAGAGGACCCATCGGCGCTGCCTCGCCGGACCTCCCCTAAACCACTCTCGCCCGGATCCTGTGCTAAGGCTGCAAGACGAAGCTCACACCAGACCAACCAAACCAGCCAGACCAGAGGAACAAAAAAATGCAATGCACAAAAAACTGCATGTCGGTCGTCGTGGTGGTTGGCGCTGCCTCGCCGGACCTCCCCTAAACCACTCTCGCTCGGATCCTAAGCTAAGCCTGGCGAAGCTTAAACCAGACTAACCAGAACAGCCAGACCAGATGACAAAAAACTGAAATCCCAAGAAAACTGCAAAGGAACAAAAAAATCAATGCACAAACGACGCATTTCCTTGGTCGTGGTGGTTGGCGCTGCCTCACTGGATCTCCCTGAACAACTCTCGCTCGGATTCAAGCTGAGGCTGCAAGACGAAACTCAAACCAGACCAACCAGACCAGCCAGACCAGATGCAACAAAAATCTGCAATGCAAAACAAACTGCACAACACAAAAAATGCAATGCCGAACAAAAAAACTGCATTTCGGTCGTGGTGGTGGTCGGCGCCTCGCCAGACCTCCCCTAAACCACTCTCGCCCGGATCCTAAGCTAAGGCTGCAAGACGAAGCTCAGACCAGAACAACCAGACCAACCAGACCAGATGCAACAAAAACTGCAATGCGAAAAAAAATGCAGATGAAAAAAAGCTGCAATGCAAAGCAAAACTGCATTTCGATCGTCGTGGTGGTTAGCGCTGCCTCGCAGGACCTCCCCTACCCCACCCTCGCCCAGATCCTAAGCTAAGGCTGCAAGACCCAACTCAAACCAGACTAACCAGACAACCCAGGCCAAAGCTAGACTTGCTCTTTTTTAGAAACAGCGAGTTGTAGGAAAGCGCAAGCTGCGCGATTCCACAAAACCGAAACCCACATCGCCATTACCTGCATCGCCGTTCGCGTGTCTACGGTTTTTGCTCTCTCAGCGGCGAGGGCAGCGGCCCCAACATCGCCTCCACCACAGCGGCGAGGTCCTCGTGGGCGGGACACCAAGGCACCGCGAACTGTTCTCCCGGGGCCGTAGGCGACCCGAGGAGTAGGAGGAGGAGGAAGAGGAGGAGGAGGAGGAGGAGGAGGAGGAGGAGGAGGAGGAGGAGGAGGAGGAGGAGGAGGGGAGGGAGGAGGAGGAGGAGGAGGAGGAGGAGGAGGAGGAGGAGGAGGAGGAGGAGGAGGAAGCCCTTCGGAGGGGGGCGCCCGGACCAGACCCTCGAAGCGACTCCTTCCGTGGCGACGAGGGCCCCCATAGGAGGCCCAGAAAGGCGAAAACGAGGGTAGCGTAGCGGTGCCCTCATATCTGAAGCTGCGAAGAAACTGCAACTTTGGAAATTGTATGTATATATATATATATGTGTATATATATATATATATATATATATATATATATATATATAAAAACACAGGAGACCCAGATCCCAAATTTCTGCGTCATTGTGTTCGAGCCGGCACGATCTGTGAAGGTCTCGGGGCCCCGAATCTGGTCGGAGCATGCCCGCTGAGAAGCATCTGCAGCGCCAGGATCTCCGGGCAGCGGAACGCCTCCCCCCTGTGAGTCCTCGTGCACCGGCGCGGCGGCGACGTCGCCGCCCGCCCCGCCCCCGGCCAGCCTCCGCGCCGCCGCCTCGCCGTGCTGCGAGCAGGTGACGAGCGCGGAGCGGACGCCCGCGGCCGCGGCGGCCTGCAGGTCCGAGAGCTTGTCCCCGACCAGCACCGCCTCGGAGGGGCGGCAGCGGCCGCCCTCCAGCGCCTCCAGCACCTAGGAGGAGAGGAGGACTCCGCACATGCACCCATCCTGACCAGGCCCACTCTGGACCGAGCGGAGGGCGAAACACACCGCATGAGCAGAAACTCTTGACGGTTCGCGCGGAGCTCCTGGATCGGCGCTGGGCCCCCCTGGCGGCGCCTCCGGCGCCGACCCTGGCGCGCTCCGCGCGCCAGGGAGGGGGTCCGGCGCAGATCCACGAACTCCGTGCGAACCGTCAGACGTTTCTATGTATGCCATCTGTGCTTCCTTGACTCGCTCTGGAGATCAAGGAGCGGCGTGTACGCCCTCCTGGCCCCGCCAGGCAGGCGTCCAGAAGGGGCATGGCAAGGATCTCGCCATCGCTCGGACGTCCATTCCCTGTGTTTTTTTCGGTTTCGTGCGTGGCTTTTTTCGCCAAATTATCAAGGATGTTCCACGATGGTCCTCGCCGAAGGAAAAATGCACACGTCCGAGCGATGCCAAGGGATCAGAGCATGCGCAGAATACTCCTCGCCCGAGCACCATCGCGGGCCCCGGCTTCAGGCGGTGCCCCCGCACCGCCACCAGCACCTCGTCCACGTGCGCACCGGAGTCCGCCAGCCGCGCGGCCATCAAGGCGTGGATCTGCCCGAGCGCCTCCGGCGAGAGCAGGCCCTCTCCGGGCGGACGGCAACGGGGAGGGGGGATGGCAACAAGTGGCCCCAAAGGGGCCGCAAGCGACCCCTAAACTACCACTGCGGGCCCCAAGAGAAGCACAAAAGGTGCACCTTTCTTCACCTCGCGTTTCTTGCATCCCCGTGAACGCACACCCGGCCTTTGCAACGGCAGTCTGATTCGTCACCACCACCACGCGGCAGCCCGACTCGTTCAGCCGCCGGATGGCCCCCGCCGCGCCAGGCAGCAGGGTGAACCGCTCGGGGTGGACGAAAAGGGGGGCAGGGCAGTGAAAGGGGGGGGTAAGCGAACATCAGAGCGTAAGAGGTAACGCTTCCGCTGCTCCTCCTGGAGAGCCCACGTCGCAACGGTGGTCAGAGCGCATCCTGGGAGAGGCCTGGGGAGTACACATCGTTCCTTTCTAATCGTGCTCATTTCTACTTGTGCTCGTTTCTAAGCCAGGAAGAGGCCCAGGATAGAACAAGTAGAAATGAGAGAATCTCGACCCCAAAGAAATCCAAGAACAATTGAATACTTAGAAATGAACAATGTGTACCGCTTCCGCTGCTCGTCCTGGAGAGCCCACGTCGCAACGGTGGTCAGAGCGCATCCTGGGAGGGGCCTGGGGAGTAGCGCTATGGGTATCGTTCTGCTCCCCCAGCATCAGCCTCGCGGCAGGAGGCGCCAGAGGCGACCCTGTGTCGAGGAGTGTGCGCCCCAGCAGGAGAACCCAGATTCGAATCGAGAAGTCGAATCGGCGATCGAAAGCAATCGGATCGGCAGAAATCGGCAGCCGAGTGAGGAAAAGTCGAATCGGCAGACGTCGGCAAGCCAGCAGGCCTCCAAAAAGAACTCGGATTTTAGATCGAAGTCCAAAGTCGAATCGACTCGGAATCGGAGACCATCGAAATGAAATCGAATCGACTCGGAAGGATCGAATGAAGCTCTGGAAGGGGCCGAAGCCCGGCTGCGCGCGGCAGACCTGGTAATGCTTCGAGCCGTGCATCGACAACCCCCCCCCCCAACTCGGGCGTTCACTAATGGGGGGGCAGTAGATGGGCTCCCTCCCTCCCTCCCTCCCTCCCTCCCGGGGTAAGAAAGGTGCACCTTGCGTGCACCTCTCGTACGCCTTCGGGGCCCTAGGGGGCTCGTTTAGGGCCCCCTTAGGGCCCCTTTCGTGCAACCCTCGACGCCCCCCCATTGATCGGGGATGGACAGGGCCCCCTTTCGCAAAACGTGGTTCAGTGAAATCGACCTGGGGCCCAAACTGGGCGGGCGCAAGCCTGGAAGATGACGGCCGCGGCGCCCTCTCGAGAGCCAAAAACGGACAATTCACGAATCGACGTGTCCGGGTGGGGGTTCTGTCCGCCCCCTAATAATGGCTCGCGTCCCCGAGGCCACGATCGCTGGTCCATCTCGCAGTTGTCGCCACCGCCCCTGGCAAATCACGCCGTGCTCGCGCCGAGGCCACGATGCCTCTCGAATGGCGCAGGTGCTCGCGCCCTCGAGGCAAACACTCCTGGCAACTTGCGCGATGCTCGCGTCCTTGGCGCGACGGTCCCTGCAACAATCGGCGGTGGACAAACCTCCCTTTAGTAAACCTCCCCTTCATGAAAACGGCCTGGGACCGAAACCGACGGACCTGGAGACCCGCAAGGATGACGGCCGCGACTCCTTCTTGCGAACCGAAACGGCCAATTCCTTAATCACCGTTTCAGGATAGGAGGTCTATCCACCTCCGCAACAAAGCAGAGACATCAAAAGACCGTCCGAGGTCTAGGAGAAACCTTGACTAGAGGGCCAGATGCGAACCCTACCCCTACCCCCCACGATTTCTGAGGGGGAGGGTGGGGTTCACTTCGCTCGGGAGCTCCCGAACGAAGTGAACCCCACCCACCCCCTCAGAAATCGTGGGGGGTAGGGGTAGGGTTCGCATCTGGCCCCCTGTTGACGCGACGGCCCCTGCAGCAAAACGGAGCCGTCCGAGCCGCGTGAGCATCGCCCCCCCCCCCCCCCTTGCCGAACGCCCGGCCTGCAGGCCCCCCGGGTGGTCCTCCTCCTCCTGCTCCTCCCCCTCCTCTGCTCCTCTGCTCCTCCTCCTCCTCCTCCTCCTCCTGCTCCTCCTCCTCCTCCTCCTCCTCCTCCCCTCCTCCTCCTCCTCCTCCTCCTCCTCCTCCTCCTCCTCCAGACAGGTGTCGCAATTCACAAAAAAGGCTCCAAGCTTCGCGCTGCTGCGGCAGCGCGAGGCGCGAGAAGTGCGGACGGCTTCGCGCGCTCTCGCGCCGCCTCCCCAATGGGGAGAGGAGGAGGAGGAGGAGGAGGAGGAGGAGGAGGAGGAGGAGGAGGAGGAGGAGGAGGAGGAGGAGGAGGAGGAGGAGGAGGACGAGGAGGAGTCGGAGCCGACCCGCGCAGCACGAAGCGCGAATAACCTCGCGCCCTCGAGGGCGCCCTTGATCAGGGGTGCCTTTCCCAGCGCCTCTCCTGTCTAGAGGCCTCCAAGATGGGGTCGGAGTAGATGGGGTCGGAGGATCGCGCCGCGTCGCCGATGCATCGGCGATGCATCGGCGATGCACTGGCGATGCATCGTCGACGTCGGCGATGCATCGGCGACGTCGACGTGACGCACATCGGGCTGCACGTCGAGCCGCATCGGCGATGCATCGGCGATGCGGCGAGATCCTCTGACCCCACCTACTCCGACCCCATCTGGGAGGCCTAGACTTTCCCATCTCCTCTCCTGTCGTCCTCCCCAACCTGCTCTGGGGCTACGACGCCCGGCCTTCCCACGTCGACGTTGATGACGCCGTCGCGGTCCAAGAGCCAGAGTCGCGGAAGGCCCAGGTCACATTGGCGCTCCCTGGAGAAACTCTGACCAGAAGGTGGCGGCGCGCCGAGAGGGGGGATGAGGCGAGCAGCCTCGAAGGGACGGACCTGCCAGGCAGGGAGCAGCCTCCCTTGGGCTCATGCCTTCCAATTCGCCGAATCACCCCGGAGGTGACCACGAGCACAGACAAGGGACCACCTCAAGTGTGCATCCAGCTTCGGCGGCGGAAAGGACGCACGAACCCCGACCCGGCGAGCCGCGCGAACCTCGACCCGGCGAATCCCTGACCTTCTGAGAAGGCATGGACCTCCCCGGAAGGGAGCAGCCTCCTCAAGAACAGCACGCGCGCGAACTTTCGAAACGGCGGGGGCCTCGTTCCCATGACATCCGGCGCTCCGATGTTTTTCCGATGCGTGGCCCCCTGGATTCCGGCTGCTCATCCCGAATCGTCCTCTGACGGCCCCATGGGCATGAAACCGGCACCGGGAAAAGGCCAAAGACGGCGACAAGCGTGGGTCACCTGACTTCGCGCATCGCGCAGCGCGATGCGCGATGCGCGACGCGCGATTATCTTCGCGCACTCGCGCCGCCCACCCCCTGGAGAAGGGCAGCCGCTCCGGCCCAGACCGCGACGCGCAAAGCGCGATTCTCTTCGTGGGCGCAAAAAAAGATCCCCGATCGGAGTTCCATCGCAATGGAACGATATGAATGGATCTCTTCCCCGATCGGAGTTCAGCATCTCTTCCCCGATCGCAAAAAAAGATCCCCGATCGGAGTTCAGCATCTCTTCCCGATCGCAGTGGAACTCATATGAAGGGCAGCCTCGACCCGCCCGAGGCGCCCGAGGCCCGGGCGGGAGGCGGGCTCCTCCCCGCGCCCCCGCCCCCCCCCTCTGCCGCGCCGCGACGAGGCCCTGCCGCACAGCCCACGCCTGCGCAGCGCACGCGGGTGCCCACCGCGCCGCTTCCTGCAGGGGCCCGCGGCCGCGAGCGCCCCCGCGGCCGCGAGCGCCGCCGCCGCCGCCGCCAAGGGCACCGGGTGCAGCCCACCACGCGGCCGGCCAGGTGCGTGTCCGCCCTGGCCGCGAGGCTGGCAGCCCGTGCCTCCGGGAGCGATGAGCGCTTTTCCCAAAGAGTGCTTCCACTGAGGGAGTCCCAGCGGACATGGGAAGATTTGGCGAAAGGTTGCCGCCGATGCTGCAAGCTGGGTTCCCGGGTTCCCGGTTCCGGGTTCCCGGGTTCCCGGTTATGGGTTCCGGGCCGATTTCGGTGGGTTCTGGGTTCCCAGGCTCCCGGTCGATCTCATTATCGATCTCTTCATCGATCCCACGATGCATTATCGATCTCATCATGATCGTTCCCTAATCATCTCAATCAATCGATCTCACCATCGATCTCATCAAACCATCCACTGATCGTTGGTTTTTCTCTGGTCTACTTTTTCCATGGAAGAATACACGATGATGACAACTGCCAACATCCCAACTGATGGGAAGGGGACCCCGCCACACTGAAGCTGGCTGGTGAGACCGTGCAAGAAGAGGGAGAGTGGGCAGCGTGCTGTATCCGCGCCCTCGCGGTGCGGATCCCGGGGCACGATCCCGCGGATGAACGGTCGTAATACGGATGCGTTCCGCGCGGGGCATCCGCGAGAAGAAGCGCCCCCGCCAACCTGCGGGGCCGCGGCCCAGGGGCCAGGCCCGCGAGGCCGTGGACAAGGGTATTTTCCCGCCCACTGGGTCCGCCCTGGCCGCGAGTCTGGCAGCCCATGCCTAGGGCGCCGTCGAAATCAATCAATAGGGCGAGAATGAGGTCATGATAAGATTGGCTCAAGATACGGTCCAGGATTTCGAGGAGGTTTCTCATTAGCGGCACAGCCAGTGCGGAACCAGGGGGAAATGGGAAATCCTGGAAATGTGGGAAATCCTGAAATGTGTGATTATCAAAACTTCTTGCTCCCCTGAATCCAAAACATCCAACTGCAGGGAGCCCTGCTCAGAGTGTCGAGACGAGTGCCGGAGGGGGAAGCGCCATACCGCCGACTCGAACCCTGCCGCGAAAACGAGCTCCAACCCCTGACTCCCCTCCGTCGCAGTTTTTCTTTCAGCGCAAAGTTGGGGAGAAGAAAAAAGGAAAGCTGAGGGGACGAATCGGACAGCATCCACACTCGCTCGCAGCGTCGGACATACTGAACAAACGCCGTGTGTGTGTGTGTGCGCACCCCTAACGGCCTCCAACCGTTCATATATATATATATATATGCATACATATACATATACGTATACATATACATATACGTATACATATACATATACATATACATATACATATGGACATGCATATAAATGTTTATATATATATATATATGTATAACACACACGGTGAGAACCAAATGCGTCGCCGAGCGTAGCATAATCAAACACGCCGATCACCCTGGACCAGGGTTGGGGGGGAAACAGAAGACGTGGGAGCAAGATGACGACACCCAGGGTTCTCGGGCGGGTGGTGGTGGGGGGGGACTAAAACGGGGGGTGAAGGAAAGCGCCCTAAATCAACTACACGCAAGAGTGACCCTGGGTAAGAGCAACCTTTGGTGCGCGGCGTTTTGGGGGCCGCGGCGGGGACCAAAAACGAGCGCGCGAGACCCAACTGCCGCATCGAATCCGGCGATCGGGGGGCCACATTGGGCCCGCACCAAAGGTCGCTCCGGCGAAAGGTCACTCTCACGTGTAGTCGACTAAACGGAGCCTTTGGGGGCCCCTACTGGCTCCCACAGCAGGGCCCCTTCCTCCCTCCACTTAGGCCACGCCCCATCACCTCCCGCCCCCAAGGCCTCGACCAAGTCCCTGGGAGGAGGAGGAGGAGGAGGAGGAGGAGGAGGAGGAGGAGGAGGAGGAGGAGGAGGAGGAGGAGGAGGAGGAGGAGGAGGAGGAGGAGGGAGGAGGAGGAGGAGGGGGGGGAGGAGGAGGAGGAGGAGGAGGAGGAGGAGGAGGAGGAGGAGGATCCGTGTTCCATCCTGACTCGTCTTCCGCCGGCCCCGAGGCCCAGCCAAGGGGCCCCCATGGAGGCCGACAACGGCGAGACGCCATCCGTCGTGAGCTGCTTCCTGGCTCGAGAGGGTCCGGGACCCCTGGCGCGGAGCACCGGCGTGTGGGGCAGGGCTGGACCTAAACGTTGTTTTTCGTTTTGATGTCGTTTTGTTTTTCGTTTTGCTCTACCTGTTTTCCTGTGCCTCCCTGCCAAAACGAAAAACAAAACACAGCTGGAGTCCAGCACAACAGCGCTTAGGTCCAGCCCTGGTGTGGGGTTGAGCCCCCTCGGGGGGGTACGGTGCGGGCGCGGCCGCAAGAAGCCTTCGCAAGAAACCCAAATCCTGAAAACCCGCGCGCGAGGTGAGAGCCTGAGCATCCTGAGCGCAGCAGCCTCTTCAGCAGCTGCGGGGAGTCACCGCGCAGCGCGCGGAGCAAAGAACCTCAGGGCACCTTGACGAAAAGCAGGTGGTTTCTTGATGCGCGCCCCCACTGTGCCCCGCCACGCTCACCACGAGGCGCAGAACAAAGGAGGCTGGCTAGAGAGGTCCGCTCCTGCGGCCCCCCAAAGGGAGCCCCTCAAGGAGCACCGATCCCATTCCCAGCCAACGCGTGCCTGTCATCGACGCTCCGCCTGTGAGGGAGCGCGGTGAGCAGAGACTCGGAACAATCTTGGGCCCCTTAGAACCTCTCAGAAAAACTACACTCAGTGTAGTTCTTCTGAGAGGTTCAAAAGTTCAATACTAATCAATAATCAACAACTCAAAAACATGCAAAACAAATTTGTCGAGGCCCTGGTTTTGCTTCCTGGTGGGGGAGGGACCCGAACACTGGGAAAGCCAGATGCGCTACTCTCCCGACTTCTCTCAAGGCGGATTTCTGCCCAGAATGTCGAGGCGAAGCCAGCTGTGGCGACCCAGAAGCGGCGAAGACGATGCAGGGGGAGCAGCGGCACTGGTGTCTTGTCTAGAGGCCTCGCAAATCGAGTCCGAGTAGATGGGTCGGAGGATCGCGCTGCAGCGCCTGTGCCTCGTCGACGTCGGCGATGCGTCGGCGATGCGTCGACGACGCCGACGTGAACCAAAACGGGATCCACATCGAGCCGCATCGCCGCTGCATCGGCGACGCGGCGCGATCCTGCGACCCCACCTGCTTCGACCCCACGTCGTTCATTTCCAATCGTGCTCGTTTCTAATTGTGCTCGTTTCTAAGTGTTCCTGGCCCCCTAGTGGCCAGGAGGAGCTCCAGGATAGAACAATTAGAAATGACAGGGATCTTGGCCCCAAAAAATCAAAGAACCTTCGCATACTTAGAAATGAACCATGTGTAATTCCCCCCCCCCGGACAAACACATTGGAAGAAGCCGCGCGCCGTCCTCGCCATCGCTCGGACGTCCATTCCCCATGCATGTCTCCATGCCGCGCGCGTATGTTTCGCAAGATGGTCCAGGATATTCCTTCTTGGTCCTCGCCCCTAAACGTGTACCCATCGATCGGAAGTGGCAGGTATAAACATGAAGTGGGAAGGCCTTGAACATAGAGATTGGGCTCCGTCCGCCCCCCTTGGGAGGACGGAACGGGTGAAGCCACTCGATCCTTGGAGTAGAAAGGCGCTTACAGTATATCGGAATAGTATGGGCATGCAGAAACACCTACTTTCAACAGCCGGTGTGCACACGGCCAGGCGATGCCACGCGTCTGGCGCGCAGCGTCTCGACTGGACACCACTCGGGGCGCAGGGCGCGGCCTGTGCTCGGGCCGCCCCAGCTGCCGGCGGCGACCGCCGAGGGCCGCAGCGAGAGCATGGGCAGAGGCCTCGTAGAGGGCGTCCGAGCAGATGGGGTCGAAAGATCGCGCCGCATCGCCAACACATCGGCGCTGAATCGGCGATGCGTCCGCGATGCGCCGGCGATGCCTCGTCGCCATCGGCGACGTCGACGTGAGGCAAATCTGGCTCCGCGTCGAGCCGCATCGCCGCTGCATCGGCGATGCGGCGCGATCCTTCGACCCCACCTTTACCAGCCTAGAACATATCCCTATCCCCATGTTGGGCATCGCCTCATCACGATGGCGATCTCAGGGATTCCCTCAATTTCTGAGGCCGTATCCCTAAGATTGTCGTCTCCTCTTAGCGTGTCAATCTTAGGGATAGGGATAAGTTCGAGGCTGGTGACACCCGCTCCGACCCCATCTGGGAGGCCCAGAATGGGCGGGCCGCGCTCGCCCGGACGGCCC